CTAGCATTCAATTGGAGGAGACGTGAGTAGACAACACTCATTACACAAAGAATGGTGTGTCAGATGTAAGATGTCCAGATAAGACTGGAGATCTTTGGCAATCATTGTTAATTCAGGTATAAATACTCCTCAAAAAAATGGACAAATGTACGCAAATTTGAATCAGAAAAATAGTTCATTGAGCAAAATTCTTCGACCTTATACTGAATTAAGCTTCAGAGGAAATTAGTCAGGCGTTCGTCTGGCTTCCTTTTTTCTGACCCTATTGTTTCAGGTTCGCCAATTTGAAAATCGCTGTCTCATACTATTGCAGGAATTATTCCGTGCAGCTTACACGAAGAATTGGTTTTAAATTTGTTGAGGACATGATGAAACGAAATTAAAATGTTGTTATACTTGGGCGAATGTCTGATAGAATTATACTAAAATTATAAAGTTGTTTGTTGAATTGATAATCTTTTTATATTAAATTTGAATTAATTTTTTAGATCCCCTTTATATTAAATCCGGGTTATGTATCTAATTTCAACCCCTAATTTAATTTTGAATGACTTAAAATTATTGATTGAAAAAAATAAATAAAATAATAAATTAAGTAAATTTTGCACATTTTAACTTTTTATTCGACAAAAAATATATTTTAATACCGTAACACTTATCTGTGTTTTATGATCTGTTTGGTATGATGAAAAAATGGAAAAATAAAAAGTTAAAGGGATAGATAAAATATCATATTTGGTAAGAAAAGAAAATAAGAAAGATGAAAAAGTCGATAAATGAATTTTTCTTCCAATTCACCAAAATCAATCCCTTCAAAATTGGAAAGAAAATGGATAAAAAATTAATTATTTGTATTGAAATATATTTTATTTATCTATATATCAATTATATATTATATATAGATTAATTATATATATAAATATAATGGTAAATATTATTTATAATTTTTAAAAAAATAAAAAATATTTTTTTCAACTTACCAAGCACAAAAAAAATTAGTTATTTTTATTTTCTATCAATTCAATCAAATACAGTGAAAGAAAAATATATTATTCATATTTTTATTCTTTAAAAAATAAAAAATCTATCCTTTATATTTTTCAGCATTTCTGGTAAACGAGCATTAAAGATGATTTATTGGCAAGTGGACGTAGGAAATAACATAGGACAAAATCACTTAACCACCCAAGAAAGAAAACATGGGACAAAATCTGTTGGTGACTTTTATGGAATGATGGGTGTCTCCGAAATGACGCAGAGCCGCCCCTGTAATTGTCTGTGCGACTTACAAACTTATGGACGGCATTGGCACCCCGGCACAAGTAGTAATGGCTCAACCGACATTTACACGTGACATTACAAGTAGGGTGAATAACGGAGTCGAATTTTGTGATTTTGAATTGAATTTGTCAAGTTTATTTATTTTATTTAAATGAGTTAAAAAAATTGTTTAAATTTAGTTTATTTAGAAAATGAGTTGAGACTGAGTAACTCAACTATTTTATATATAAATGAGCCGAATTTTGTAAGTTTAAGTTAAGTCGAGTGTTTTTAGGTTCTTTTTCTAAATGAGTTTAAAAAAATGTTCAAATTCAATTTATTTAGAATACGAATCGAACTCGAGTTGAGTCTTACCCAAGTCAAACTTGAGTAGCTCGACTCAATTATCAGCCTTAATTACAAAGGTCATTTTTAGGCTTACATTTTTCCTTTTTCATTATGCTATTGAGGTGATATCACACTAAAATTTATTATGAATTATTAATTCTGTTTATTAATTTATTTATAATCATTGATTTTAAAAATAATGAAGTGAAAAAATAATAAAACATAAAAATTTTGTATGTGGTATCTTTTGGTTAGTGAAAAATAGGGGATACCCAAAAAAAATTTCCTAACCAACAGACAATAGAATCTGAAGATAAATGCAAGTAAAGATATTGTCCGTTTTGAATACTCATATACCATCACGATTTTATTCCCACGAGACTTTACCCAAAAAAAATCTTTGGATATTTAAGGGTGAACACACCACGTATATAGTTTAGTCACTTACTCTCCCAAGTTGACGTGGAATGCAACGTAGAGCACCTCCTCCCCTCACAAAACCTTTTGGTAGGCTGTTATACACTTATACTCCACCCCCCCCCCCCCAAGAGGTCATGTGTCCCATTTTAACATATGATAAAATTCAATGATTATTAAATGAAATTGTGCTAAAATTCAAATACAATTAAATAGTATAAATATCTAAACGAGTTATCAGGATCGTGTTTTGTAATTTCAAATAGATATCAAATTGTCAAATTTAAATTAGAGTTTCAATACGATTGACGGACTTAGTGGTCCCTGAACCCCACCATCCTCGGTTCGAATTGAAAGAACCTTCCTCACTCCTAGTTCGAAGCCAAACCGACCTTACCAAATTCGATGATAATTATTTTCATACATATCACATGCCACATGAATAACATTATCATTTTGCTGGCCCCAAAGCACCAGCAAAAGTGCAACACATATGAATTATTGCGTATAAGTTCCATTTTTGTGTCTCGACAATGTTCATGTAAGACATCAAATGTCCAACTCCTTCAGTCTAAGGTAATGGGACTCCTAAAATATCCTCTACAGTGCCACTGATTGTGGAGGTCTCAAGGGTTTTTTTTTTTTTTTTCCAATTCTTCATGCCACCATTGATATAGTAATTGCATAATTTAACAATTTTGAATCAAAGGGTTAATTTTTTTATATGCAACAATTAATTACAATTATAAGTCTCATGCATCACTATTACAATGAAGTCTGAACAATCACAAAACCGAAATAAGAGAAGAATACAATCCAAAAGAGAAGAACAAAATAGAACACAACACCCAAAAGAGAGACATAAGAGATCCAATCCTTACTTTTGACTTGGATTGAACTCTTGACCTCACGATTAATTAGGCTAGACCAAATAACAATGTTGCACACTGTAATTGGCTAGATAATCAAGTAATCAACCCAAACATTGTCCTTTGCGAGGTCAATAATGGCCGTCTGCCATATAAGTTCTTGCTGATTTGCATGAAAATTGACAATGGTGTGGCCTTATTTTCACTTAAAACTTTCTTGTTGCTTCAGAGTGTTTATGGTACCGGGAAATAAAAATATTTCGGTATTATATCTCAATTTATTATATTTGTAGTTATTTTTATCACTGTTGTGAGTATTTTTATCAATCGAAAAAAGTGATAAAAATAGTTATTATAAAAGTAATAAAAACACCAATGAAAGCAATAAAAATACCCAAAAATGTAATAAATCACTTACACAAATTGTAATTTTTTGTACCGAAAAAATTATATATATAATTATTACAATAGTAGTAAAAACATCCACAAAAATAATAAATCATCTATAAAAGTGATAAATTTTTTTTATATAAAATGACTCATAAAAATTATAAAATACTTATTGAAATAATAAATTTTAAAGGTATAATATATATATACTAGTTATTGTCTGTGCCTAAAGGCACAAAGTAATAAAAAATGATAAATAATAAATATATTTGTATTCATATCCAAAATCAAATCACAAATATAAAAAAGATATGAAGGAATTTAAGTATCGATTTATAGTGGGGGTAAGAGGTGGTGAGCGGTAGTGGTGGTGGTAGGAGACAGTGATGGTTATAGTGAGTGGCAATGACCGTAATGGCGGTGGTGGCGGTGGCAACAGCGGTGGTGGTGGTGACAATGGCAGTGGCAATAGTGGTAGAGGTAGTGGTGAGACTGTTTCAAACACTATTTTTTTTAAAGTATTTATGATAAATAATTTTTAAAAATACTTTTAAAAAGTCACTCCAAACGCACCCTTAGAGACATATTTTTCCTATTAAATTTAGGGTGTTAATATTAGCCGTTAGATTAGCTTTAAAGTAAAATTTAAAGCGATCCCAACGACAAATAGTAAAAGTCATTTTGTTTATCTTTTGAGATTTGAATTGTAAGTTACTTTATTATATACTAATTATTGCATATGTCTGAAGACACATAGTAATAAAAAATAAAAAATAAAAAATATATTTGTATTCATATCTAAAATTAAATCGCAAACATAAAGAAGAAATAAAAAAATTTAAACATCGATTTGTAGTGGAGGTGAGAGATAGTGGGTGGTGGTAGAAAACAATAATAATTGTAGTGGCGGTGGTGGTGCTAGTGACGGCGGTGGCGATGATTATGGTGATGGTGGTGGCGACGACAGTGACGGTGGTAATGGAGAATGATGGTGGAAGCGGTGGTGATGGTGACAGTGGTAGGGGTGATAGTAGTGACAGTGGTGGAGGCAGTGGTGGGGAAGGGGTGGCGGCAACGACAACGGTGGTGGTGATGGCAGCGGTGGTGGTGATGGTGGCGATGGTAGTTGTGGAGAGGTTTAAAACAAATTTTTTTTTTTAAAAGTATTTATGAAAAATAATTTTTATAAAAACTTTTAAAAAATTATGTCAAACACACCCTTAGGGACTTATTTTTTCTTATTAAATTTAAAGTTTTAATATTAGTCATTAGATTAACTACTTTAAAGTAAAATTTAAAGCGATCTCAACCGCGAATAATAAAAATTATTTTGTTTATCTTTTAAGATTTGAATTATAAATTATTTTATTTTATATATATATATATATAGAATGCTTTCAATTTCTGTCGTCATGTTTTACCGGTAATATCTTAGTGATGCTTTGGATCCTATCAATCAAAGACCATTTAATTTAATTGATTCCTATTAGGAATTAGTAGGGCCCATATAATTACTATTAAGGCCTAATTTACAATTGATTGAAAAGATCTAAAGTGAGAGGAAAACAAAAAAGTTAGTTGGCGAACGTCATGCAAAATAAACCTATTATCACGGATTAATATAATTTAGTGACAAGTGATAGTCTGTCGAAGTGATATGCCTAAGTTCGACCCTGAAAATTATTACCTATCAATGCGAAATAAGGATGTCTACCACTTAACTTTTCTATACTCAACTATAGATGAAAACATATCACACATAGGCAAGAACATAAATACACAACATAAAGAAACAGTATATGCCATTATTTACAAAGAAACAGAGTAATACAGAGACAAACACATACCTCTGTTTCTCCTAATAATAACATAGTACAATACTATCTCATTCTAATATGTGAGAGAATAAGCAGAAACCAGCTGAGCTTCATTTCTACCAACATCCAAAAGCTACAAGCTGGTCTCCCAAAACCTCCACATAAAATCACCCCACAATAAGCTTAAAAAAAAAAGAAGAATTATAGATAAGCCCCATAAAACAGGGCTGTCACTATAACCAGCTAGGAGACTCCGGGGACATATCTCCAGCCATCCCTCTGGTAAATCTCCTTAGCAGATATATCAAAACACAATCTATCAAACATTATGACCATCAATCTTCAAGCCCTTTTATCCAAATCAGGCTTGGGTTGCTAAATCTTTGGCACTGATAAAAGTACCATGAAAACCATATGGTACTCTGCTTGGAAGCTTCACACAAGCCTCTATCTCCAATGTCATTGCATTAACGATCTGTAGCTCTGATTTCCATGCCTTTTCGTCGTGAACGAAAGCTAGAATATACCCATCATCTTCTTTCTCAGAATTGGGGGTTTTTGGAAGAAACAGAGGCTCACCACCATATTTTTGATCTCCATAGATATACTTCTTGACTTCACCATTTGAAAGGTCCACTTTAGCAAAACCCGATACTTTAGGCCATGGCTCAGCTATGGCTAGATATGCAAACTGGGTTTTTCGTCCTAGCTTGTTTCTGTTCACCATTCCTGCCTCCAAGTTCACTTGATCGTCGGAATTTGATATAATTGGCCGGCGAGTGGACTTTCCGGTCTTCAAATTGAGGCGAATTTCTGATAAAACACTCTGTAATCCTTCGTCACATGCGTTGAAAATGGAGTCTGGAGGGGTCATACATGACCCAATCACAACAATCTCATCAGTCTCTGGCTCTTCCCAAGCATTCCAAAGATGAAAACAAAAGCAATCAGGACACTCAATCCATTTGATCTCAGAACCATCTTTAGCATATTTCTCAAGAACCCCAAATCTTGGCACCTTGTTCTTGTCATACACCACCGGAGAGCCACCGCGAACCATTTCGGAAATCTTGAACACAACTTGCTGATCAGGAACAACCACAAAATTTTCTGTAATTGCAAAGTCATGCATCATAGTTGGCTCAGAAACTGGTATTTCAATATCGGGTGATTTATTTCCATCTTGTGAGAATTTGAAGTACTTGAGGTAAGGTTTCTGAATAACGTCGTAGCTCAGAGCAAATAGCTCGCCGGAAACTGGGTCGAGCTTCGGGTGAGCTATCATGGTGGACTTGAGTTGACCATCAAAGTTGTATCTTTCCACTGTACGGAGGTCGCCGGAGGGAGTAACTTTGACATGGTACGGCAAGTCATCTTCAGACATGGCGAGTAATCGATTGTTGAAGTAAACCAACCCAGCGTTGGCCACTCCGGTGCCGTGATTGTGATCAACGAGGCCTAAGAGTCCACGAGCATAGAACAGTAGAAGCCTAGCTATGCCGGAGTGGCCATGGAGTTCACCAATGGCTTTGGGGAAAACTGGCCGGCCTAAGCTTCGTTCTTGGACGAGTCTTTGAGTCTCCGTGAACCGGCAAGCGTAGCTTGCTGACCCGTTCTTGAATTGAACGGCGTGGACCATGCCGTCGCCGTCGAAGAAGTGGTGTCCGGCGACGGGTTCAAATAAAGGGTTGGCGCCGTTCCGGACATAAACACCTTGTACGCATTCGGGTATTTTTCCGGTAACCGGAAGTGAGTAACAGACGGGCTGTTCCGGCACCGGAGCAAAGTTGCCTGCAATTTGGACTCCGGGGTCGGCTGTTTTCGGCAAAGGTTGCTCAAGCTCGCGTGCCGTTAACGCGCTCTCCACTGCGTTTAACGCCATTGATGCTGCTCTCTGTAGTAAATTCCATTGTGGGCTTGAGGAAGATGAAGATGAAGATGGAGATGGAGGTGGAGATGGAGGTGGAGATGGAGATTGAGATAAGGAAGGAGATGAAGAAGAGCTTTCATATGGGCAAGGTGCTTGATAAATTGTCGAAGAAGACTGTTTTGGGAAATGGAGAATTGAAGGAGTTTGGAGAGAGCAATTAATGCTGTATTCTTTATTGGGGTTGTTGAAAGAGACTGAACTGGATGAAGAACCCAACAGTTCTCTTGATGAAGAAATGGAGATTTTGGGCTTCAACCAAGTACTTGAAGAAGGTGGTGTTGCAGAAGCCATAGCTGTCTATTTTGATGCTGTCACTGAGATGGGTTGCTTTAATTGTTTGCTAGGGAGTGTGTGTTTTGGAAGAGTGTTGAGAGGAGAGACAAAGTGGTAAATGAAAGAGAGAGAGGGGAGTGAGGTTTGAGGAGAGACGGAGGGAGAGAGGAAAGGTATATATAGGGAGAGAAGTGACGCATGGAGGTCCACTTCAAACTTGTAGGAAGAGACCACGTGTTTGATGTGGAAATGGGGGCTCAAAGACTCGTAATAAACGATGTGGAGGGGTCTACTGTAGCTAAAAAAAATAATAATATCAGGCACACTATTTTTCGGTATTATCTTTTTGTACTATTTTAATAAAGATAATTAGTTCTGCATTGTAGGTATTTTTACCATTATTTTTATTATTTTTCTTTGGGACAGTAGTAGTAGTAGTAGTAAAAATATTAACAAATGTGATAAAAATATTCCAAAATTGATAATTTTTTTATTGTAAAAATATTCACAAAAATAATAAAGTAAGAGTAGAATACCGAATTTTTTTATTTTGTACCATAGTAAAGTCTCTATATATAGTAATAAAATATGTAGAGTATACACAAATAGAGAGGTATGTCTTTACTTCTGCTGGAGAAAGGATAAATGGGGTTGAGGTGGAGGTAGACTCTGTTGAAACCCTATCTCTTTTGTCAAAGCCACTGGATGCCAGACACCCTAACATAGCGTCGATCCACAACTGTATCTTGATCCTGGAAATGACTAACAACCATATAAAGCATGTCTTTTGTGTGCGAATGCGCTTACAAATATGAGAGAAATGCAAGCTGAGTGACCTGTCAAGCTTGATCAACCGCCAATGGAGCTTTATCAGCTTCTTCTTGCTGATCTTGTTGGCACTACTTTGTTCGAGAACCTTAGTGGTCTTGTTTCATTGCTATGGTCTTTTATTTCCTGTGTACCCAAAAAAAAAAAAAAAGACTACAATAGTATGATCTCTTTTTTTAATGAAAAAAATATCTCAATCATTTATTTTTTAGAGTTGTATTGAATATACCTAATTATTTAATAATTGAATGTGTCTTAACTACAAGGGCATATTTGGATTATTTTTTTTTAGGAGGATATGATTGCATTCATAAAGTCTTTCTAAACTTCATCCCAAGGATTTGTACACAGAATTCAAACAGTAAATTCTATTAAATTTCATCCTTGGTAAGTGACATAAATACATCTAGATCCATGGATTCATGTCAAATCTTATATCTCAATTCACTAAAATGTTTATTATTAGGTAAATTAAAAAAAAAAAAAGCAATACTATGTAACCCAAATTTGCATCCCAAATGAAGGGGGATCAACGGATCAATGGATCTCATTTAAAAAAGTTAATGAGACTCACTCATTCAATTGTCCTCCTTTATTTAGGATAAAAATTTGGGTTATATAGTATTTCTGGTAAAATAGTCTTTTTATCTATAAATCCCATATGTCACTTTTGCAAATATCCCATGGGTTTTATTAAACCACTATACATTGAGTAAAAATTATTATTTATATTGAATAATGTTATTTGTATTTAAAAAATTGAAATAATTTATTTACTTGATGAATTATAATCATTGAATAAGTAGTGAATTTTAATAAATAATAGGACCCATAATTAAATCAATGACAATGATTGATCAAATTAATTTTCAAATGCTCATTTTTTTTAGGTGAGGATTAGCCTAATTATTTATTTTCTCTTCTTTAAAAATAACCAACCATGAATGATGTGGAGCCTTAAAATAATTTTTTCTCAATGGTACCCACTAATCCGCGTTAAACACGTGAACCAATCAGCACTCAAAGCCATTGGTGTTGTCGGGAAATTGGTGAGAGGTTATTGGTGCATTCTACACCGTCTAACCCCGCGTACCAACCTCTTACAATTCACCTCCCATACACGTGGCGCTTAATTTGTGCGCCTTGTGTCCTTAACCTAAAATGGGTCCCATCTAAAAAGGAAAAAAAGAAAAAGAAAAAAAAAAAAAAACCCACACGGCTTTCCCAAAATCAACAGACCCATTCATCTCAATGCTCATTACTTGGGACTCTTTTTTTTTTTTGTGTGTGTATTATTATCTTATTTTTAAACCACATATATTGTATTGGGTTAAAATTTATTCAATTTATATCCGATTTATTCATAATTGTTTATAATTTAACTCAGTTATTATGTTCAGTCGTGTTTATTTGATTTTTTATCGTGATTAGTTGAGTTTGTATCGACTCATTTATTTGATGAATTTTGATGAATTTATTTGTTTATTATTCAACCCTATTAATTATGTGTCAACTTGGTATCGTATGATCACGAGTCGTGTGTAAAGTTACTTGTCATACTTAAACCTAACTTCTAGGATGACACATGATTGAATCATTGAAACCAAAGTGTAGATTTGCATTATCAGTTTATTTTCCAATTACTTAGGCAATGGCATAAGTCTTATATTAGTTTTTTTTTTTATCTTTGTACTACAAAAATATGCAAATAATACCCAAAGTTTATGGTTTACAGTTCAACAATTTTGTGGTGAGCATTGGCGTGACGAAAATCATAAAAAGATTTTTTTTTAAAAGAAAAATCTTTCCTTTTTTATGTGGTTTTTTGAAATGATTTTCTTGCTCTTGAACTAGTCATTCTATCAAGTCATTGCATAAATATTTTCTCTCTTTCAATTAAAAAAAACAAAGAAGCACAAAACTTTTGAAACATCTAAGAGGGAAGAGAAATAACAATTTTGGCCTCATTTTGAATAGATCAATTTCAGTATTTGAAATTGCAATAAACATTTATCATTGCATTCGATCTGACTTTTTCTTTTCATTGCTATTGCTAATTTCTATTGGTATTGTAGTGTACGGTTTCTAGGTATGGATTCCATTTCTAGTTTCTTCTCCCCACATCAGCAAAGAGACCACAAGCCTTTTTACCATTAATGAGTTCTTAACTTCCAATCATGGGCTAACAACCATATCCTTCATCTATATTTTATTACATATTTTATAATGGGGTTTTACTCCCCAGCTAATGTCATGGATGATGACTCTAATCCCATAGAAAAGGTGACATAGTTTATAATTCTAAAATCATTAAAGAAAAAAAATTTGTAGATTTGAATTGATAGAGATGATCTTTTTGACCACCTGTTTTCAAAATTATATAGTAAACTTATCCACGTGTTTGCTTCTCAAAGATACACTTGCTAATCGGATTCATATTAGGCAATTTTGAGTTTTTTTTTTTAAAATAATTTAGTACATAAGACTGGTACATGCACACTCTGATGAATTTAGAAAATAAACGAAAAATAGAATTGAAGAAAGAAAATCCACTTCGAGAGGGGTACGTAAAAACTTTCAGTGGTTCAATTCGAGAAGAACCGAATCTTCAAAACTTTATAAAAAAATTTATTACAATATTCAACGTACCATTTTTATTGATAAAAAAGTCTTTAAATACAAGTTGATAGAATTACTTTAATAGCTAGTCTAATACATGACTCCACTGTCATAGTATACACCTAAAAAACTACCAACAAAATAATTTATCACTACCTACTAACTAATAATCTTCCAATAACCAACTCCTAGTTTACATAAAAAAAAATATTAAAAATGTGGACATAATCTTATCACAATAGATCTATGAAGGAACAAACCTGCTAGTCTTACTTTCCATGCAAAGACTATTTTTATACCTCCAACTCGTGATGTCTAGGTTACAATGTAAAAAAATTATTGTGCCAATTCATGTTATTTATTTTATTTTATTTGTCTAGTAATAATAATCAAGTTCAATACTTGACGATTGTTCCTTAGGAACCATCGTTGCCCCCCAAAGCACCCATTATTTGTCAAATCTTTTAAAGAGATAAATTTTGAGTTGGTAATATCCATTGATCGTCTCTCTCTCTTCTCTTTTTTCGAGTCTCTATGACTTCAGATTAATTATTTCGTGTTTTACCCAAATTTTGTTGAACATCTTAGATTTTAGTAGCCCCTTTTTTATCCTTGGATATCCCAAAATATATATAAATTCAAGAAATGACCACAAAAAGAGGGTGTGGTTGGTTTGTGTTTTTTTTTTTTGGGATCAGAGCTATAAAGAACAACAAAGTCAAGATTATTGACACTAAATATCGTGAAGAGGTGTTGATCCTAAATTGATTAGAAGACCCACTTTCTTATGACATGGTACTAAGCTTGCCGACAGTGGACATTACTGGACCACATAGTTGACTTGTGTATACATATTTTAGTTCAGGGTTGTTCAAATCAGCTTACGTGCACCTTAATTAATCTCATTTACTGTTTGGTCAAAGGCAGACCATCCACGGCGGGATTAGGGTATTTACGATAGATAAATTCCTCATGGCCTTGCCCTAAGGGGTTGACAAAATTCGACCTCAGTATGTCTAAGTTTATAATTCATCCATTTTACCACTTAAACTACCCTTGCGATTAATTGATTTTATATGGGGACATAGATACACCCTCATCAAAAAGAAAAAAAAAACTTAGATTATTTAAATTACTATCTAACAAAGATTTTAGTCATAGAATTCGTTTTCTGAATCCTCACATACTATGGCAATTAATAACATTATGTAAAACAAGACTGTTAAAAGGAAATTTTTAGCCTTAATATCACCATCAAAACACCATGTATTAATCTGTGCAAAAGCAAAGAGTTAGGCTGGCTCAGTCACAAGGCCACGAGTTAGTGACATTTTAGCACATTGTTCTTCTTCCTTAGAGCTGCGATGGATCTATATCATGTTACTCTAAATAAATCAGAGGTGGGGATGGAAGCAAATAGAGGACTAATGAGATTTTATCTCGTGTCATGTGTTTCACAAGACGAGAATCTTTGTCATGTTGAATAGAACAATTTATGCTTACCCATGATTAGGGTTTACGCGATTATGTTTAATGTAAACGCTTACGAACCATGAGAGGGGGAAAACCTCATCTTTATTTTGGTTTAATCATGCTGCTAACATGGGAGACCATGATTTTGGGAAGTGTTTAAGCTTGAAATTTCATATTGAGAGGATGGAAATGTGTGTGTTTTTTGTGTGTGAGTTGGCGGATATTT